GAGCTGGTCCCTCATCAGACGGGACTTTTCTCCAGTCCGGTCCAGGTCCCACAGCCTGAGCATACTGAACAAGCGGACCACAGCTGCGGCCCATGTGTGCCAGTGAGCCCCGGTGGAGACTGGTGGAACCGCAGTTTGTCATTACTGGAAAAAAGTGTGCTCCTATTTAAACACAATTTTCTAAATAAAGGCTGAGTGCATTTAGAAAGGAAAGCACAACATGTTATTTCTGCAGCGCCTTGTTGTCAGTTCTAATAGCGTCGACGCGTCGGTCGTGCACTTTTTTTTTTTGGGGGGGGGGGGTGTGTGTTCAAAGCACTTTGCAGTCGACTTGATGGCAGAACGTCGCGCTGGTATCAGATTTTTTCATCGTCAGAGAGGAACTCACAGGTGCCGGAACAGACACCGACACGTCAACGACACGTCAGAGCTGCCGCATCGCTGCCCGCCCCAACGTTTACGCCTCTGGCGTCGGGTCGGGTCGTGTCCCGTCGATCTGTGTCTGGATGTAAAGCGTTTCAACATCACGCTGTCGTACTGGTCTGCGTTACACACGGAGGGCGGGGTTCTGAGATTAGAGGTTGAGTAAACGCAGTATTGTGGGTATTATTTGTAAAGAGAGAGAGAGAGAGAGAGAGAGAACCCCCCTCCCCTGCCCCCCCGTCTGTGCCACCCACAGACATATACAGTATATACAGGTACCTCACTTGAGGTTTTGAAAACCAGAATAACAATTTAGCACTCAATTGTCTGAGTGTCAGATTTACTTGACGGCACTAGTTTAACTGAGTATTTTCAACCACACACACACACACACACACACACACACACACACACTCCCTCCGCCCTCTCTCAGAGTCATTCCACATGTCTAGCAGGCTTACCTGTGGCCAATAAAGAACAAAAACAAGCAGCCAAACGCAGCGTCTGCCAGAGCGCAGCCGTCCTGTCACTGCACGCTCTGTAATGAGCTCTTAATTACCCCGTCTGTCTGGAGCAACAACACAAACACCACTGTACACACTGCTGTTGTATTCAGTTGTATTTTCCCTAATGTTGCAATCCTGTCTCTGTGTGTGTGTGTGTGTGTGTGTGTGT